CATTTTGTATGCTATTAACATTCTTCATATTGCTCTCCTTGAATTTCAATTTATATTTCACTATAGATTTTTACAAATAGTATAAAGAGAGAGAGAACTCCAAAAACTATTATGAAGGATGGAGAGGTTTTTTTTACATTTTCGAGATCACCCACCTCTTTTATTTTCTCAAAGTATTGTTTTCAAAAGTTTTTTATGTTGGCGTTTTGATTTTCGTCTTGGCTCTATTTTGTTAGAGGTTGTGATTCACAATGACACCGGTATAGTTGCATGCTCAAGGTTTCTTCTTTCCGGTGTGGGTGAGGGTAAACAGTAATAAAATTTGTAAAATTCTAAATCGAAAGAGATTCGAGTTTTTGGATCTCAAATCAAAGTGCCAAGATGCACTCTAGCAAAAGTGAATGTAAAGCAAGAGTCAGTCGTCATCCTCTCCTCTTCTTTTAGTTTAAGTGGAGAAGCCATGCTAGTATCAATGTCAAATTCACTAGCTCCATCTTCAACAATATTCAAAGCCATTAACAATGCTTTCCAGTTTTCGCATGTCTCAGTTGACAAGTGCTTGTTTTTGTATAGATTCATGAGCAAACTTCCATCCTCCTACAACGGCAATATTTTTTTTGAGCTACCACTTCTTGTTAACAACATAAGTTTTAAACAGAAGGGGATGGAAACCAAGCAGAATGTCCATAATTGATGCAAGATTAAAACCACACATTTTCAACATTTTGAAGGTATGGTATCTATAGTTTATTGTGGTGAGCATTTAGATTGCATGGATGAAGTATGCAATCAAGATCGCAGAAAAAGTTCTATATTTTTCAAGGGTTTACAATCAATCATCCTACCTGTGATACCATTACTGTTAGATTCAAATGTCAATTTTGCAAATATGCTCCTCTATGTTGTGCTATCAGCAAGGCTAGGATGTACTTTTTTTGTTAGGTACAAGGTAAAGAGAATAAGATAAAGAAAGGGCCCTGCAATCAAGTGATCCCCCCTTTAGCAAATTGGCTTAGGATGTAAGGGATAGGATCCTAACATTGGTATGGGAGCCCAGTTCTATTCTTGTGGCTGATGAGTAGGGCAAGAATATTCAAAAGGAATATTTAACATAGTGGATCTAGAGGGAGAACCAAGGTTTGGTAAACCCTAAAAGAAGGACCATGGTGACTAGAGGATGGCCTAAATATGATTGTAGATGATCATTCTTTGACAAGGGGAGGATAGATCAGAATAATAGGATAAAGAAAGGGCCCTACAATCAAGTGATCACCCTTTTAGCTAGTTGGCTTAAGATGTAAGGGATAGGGTCCTAACATTCTTCCATGGGATGGAATGGCTAGAAGAGTTGTAGTATATGTTGACATATATATGCATCCAATACAAGAAAGGATACAAAAAAGTTCTTTCAACTATTTCAAAGATGTTGTGCAGAAAGAAACTATGAGAAACTTATCTGCAACTCTAAAGCATGTTTAAAAGATCGTCTTTAAGGGTTTTATTGCAAACACCCTACTTAATCTAGGCTACCAAAGACTTAACTAAATAAGGTTAGCCTATAGAATTTACTACGAGGAGTACAACTTGCTACTAGTTTGAGGAGGTATATTTGTACATTACAAAAATATATATTTTCTACATTATATTGTTTAGGATAAAAAATTGGATGTGTGAATCTCTACAATGTAGGGGTACATTTTGACCATATGGAGCGTGTATTAGGTTGGACAACTATGGGAGCTCACATGTATCCAAGGTAATTTTTATTCTCAGTATATTGAAATGGTTGTAATATTTGTTTTTTCATAGGCTATATTGTAACTTGACAATTGCAACAATAAAGTTTAAAGTAAAAAACCAAACAACCCAGGAAATATTTTGGAAGTCCCTTTTTGATATTATGCTAAAGCGGACTGGAAGCCTATAAAATTTTGTTATTTCATGGTAGATAGGGCTAGTGCAAACTAGAATGGTGTCCAAGCAATTTTTAGAACTAGTTAACCATTGGAAGGTCATGAAAGGACTTGTGAGTTCTATTAGGTTCAGAGCCTAAACTAACACTACCATCTTATCAAGCCAAAGTTTCAATCAGTGTTTAAGGAGTTGTGCAAATAATGGCAACCTGCATCCTTTAAAGAAAAGCACAAGGCAAAGGTAAATAAAATTTAAATATGATGGCGTGAAGGTGGCTATGCAGACACAAGTTGCTTACCTCAACTTGAGTCATAGTTAAGGTGGTAAAAGTTAGGATGTTCCAATGGGGACATCACTCTTTTTAAGTTGGTTTCTATTTTTCTTGTCATTTTATTACTTTTTAATATCTCCTCAAATTGGAACACTTTTGAAGATTGCTTTATAGTGCATATTAAATTTAATAGACTTCATATAGACTCATCTTCCCTTTCCCTGCTTCAGAGAAATGCCAACTCTAGTGCTTACTTTCGGAGAGATTCACAGTTGGGGTGTATACGAGGTCCTCAAGTGGTTACATGGGAACAAGGCTTTCTATTGAGATATTACATGATAGGATGAAGAGAAAATTGACTCCACCCGCCTAAATAATGGTAACTGCAATTGAGGAAGTGCTCCACAGCATATCTATGGAGTACACTTCTCGAGCTTCTATTAGTGATATGAAGATAGTCCACTCAAAGCATCGTTTTTCCTTTGTTAGTGAAGATGTTGGCATAGACATTAGAGTAAAAAGCTCTCATATGCCTGATGTTGAGTATCATTCTACTCTAATACACTGCCCTCAGATAAAGCCATCTAAAATGGCTGATAAAAAGAGTGCATCACAACAGGTTGAAATTGCTTACTATATCATACAACATTTAGTAAAGGCACAGGGACAACAAAAGTTAGAATTTGAATAACAAATTATGGAGTTCAACACCCAATATGAAAACACACTAATAAAGATTCCAAAAAAACATTAAATTGTGGAGGAGAGCTCTATATTATAGGAGCTTATGGTGTGGCAGCTTTGGACAATAGGGAAGCTGATTGAGGCAATCGTGTCAACTAGATCCTCAAGGAAAAAGTTGCAACAAAAGACTTTGCACTAGGAAATTAAGATCTTATGGAAGGAAGCGATAGGAGAAGAGGAGTCTAAGTAGAAATTTGAGGAGTTCACTAGGGAGGAGCTGGACCTAGGTGATGACTCAGAGGACACCATTAGCAAGCTAAAAGACAAGGATGAGGACATCTCAGAGGATGCAGAGGCATTGCTTGAGCTTGAGAAGACAACCAAGGAGCAAGTGTAGGATGGAATCACCTATTGAGCAAGTGGCAAAGGGATGTTGAAACAAAAGGAATCTAGGATAGGTTTAGAGATTCCCACAAAGCAGTAGATATAAGAATTTTCTATTTTAGCTAAGGGAGAGATGGTGGAGAAGCTTTAAGAAGGTGCTATTGGGTCTACCTCAAAAGTTTAGATGTTGTTAAGGACAGTTGGGATTGGCCCTAGAGATCAAACAAGGATAAGATTCACTTGTTAACAATGAATGTGGGAGCATTAGCTAAGAAGTATGAGCTTGGGCAAAACCTAAAGAAGTAGGATTGCATCCTAGGTGGTGGCATGTGGCATAGCTATGCCATCCAAACCCTGGAAACAATGGAAATCATGTTTTGATCGACATTACATTTAGGATGTGATGTGGAGATGCATGGATATTCCTTGAAGTCTACACTCAATAGAGAACTAGAAGAAATCATTGGGAGAGCCAACTATAAAAAGGAGGGCAATAATAAAGAAGGGTTGGGTTGGGCTTCACCCCTTTTCTGAAGCATTTAAAAGTCTTCAAAAGTGTTTTAAAAATGATATTAGTGATTAATGAGAAGATTATGAGTGCCAGTAAAATTGCATTCAGTTTTAATAAGCTTTAGAGTGTTTTGGAAGGCTTTGTTTTACTTCATGGTTGGCTACTAGCAATAGGACATCCCCAAGGAATTTTGTGAAGTAATCATTGTTTGTTTCTCTCACAGCTAGCGAGATTCTCACTTGGTTGTAGTGCAATGCAATGGAATTGGCATAGCACATCACCTCCTGGCCTCAGTGTTGGTAGAGACATTAGATTGAAGCAGGTGGAAGACAGCTACAAACCCAAATGTATTTTGCGGGTTAAGAACAAGGTGCCACCTTTTCTTGGTTGGAAAAAGTTTCCAATGAACAGGATTTCTTAAAATTCTAGTGTGAAGAGACTTGTGGGTGAGATTTGCATTTGCATCAGATTAAAGAGCTCATTGGGTCTTTAGATCTTTGTCTAAAACTCTAATACTCTCACTGACTTCGTGCTTCTACATTATTGGAGGAGCTCACCTCGTATGTGGTGGAATCAAGGTGAGTTTGACTATTCCCCCTCCCTAGGTAGCACAAATGATCCAATATTGAAATTGGAGTAGACTGATTTCTCTCTGCTATAAGTTATACATGTTGTTCTAAGAGCTATTAAAAATACATTAAACCAAGGCCCTGCTACCACTAAGCATTGGCAATGGCTACAAAAATTCTGATGTGTGTAGCTAACAGAAAATTCTCTTTCATAAAGTGGCAAAATGCTTTGATTATACTGTTGATGTGGGCATGAGGGAGCTGGGATTTACACTCACTATCATACCCCATGTATTGTCTAATTTCAGACCCATCTCTCATCACAATGCATGTGAATATAGTATCAACTACAATATTCCAAAAGAGCATGGGCTCGAATGCTCATGCACCACAAAAACTTTTTTGTGGTGTGTGAGCACTCACCACACATTCAGCACAACACTTAAAAATGATATAGTGAGTATTGGTAAAAGATATTCACGCCCATTAAGGTTAAGATACATATCTCTTTCTATACAGGACAATTGCACACATTAATACTTTGTGCAAACCATTGATGGTGCTTGTCAAACCTCCTGGTTACCTTTTTCGCTTCGTGGCACCTTTAGAGCGTGTTCTTCCAACCTGTCCTTGGGTTTTAGAGCGTGTTCTTCCAACCTGTCCTCGGGTTTTAGAGCGTGTTCTTCCAACCTGTCCTGGGGTTTTAGAGCGTGTTCTTCCAACCTGTCCTCGGGTTTTAGAGCGTGTTCTTGGTGGTGTTCTTCGCTCAGCACCCCGTGGATTACCACTAGGTTCGTAGGTTGGATCAAAAGGTTCTCTCGTTTGTTTTCCTCTCCAACTCCAACTTGCAGCTGCTAGCATTGATGTGTGCCTCACGGCACTAAATAAACCTACACATACAACATAAAAACATAAAAACCAATTCTAACAAAAAGAAAAGCATAAAAAAACGTACCAAATGGACTCTGCTGCGGATACCCGTAATAGCATGTATCCACCTTCGGAACAACCATCTTATCCTGCTTTTTTACTTTCCGAATCACGTTATGCAATGCTTGGTCTGTCATAAAAATGACAGCGTACTCCCCATCTGAAAAGACACACATTTAACCACCCACAAATAAAATTAAATACCTTCTATCCATTGCTCTATCCTCCATGTTTTCTTCAGAAAATCTTGTTCCCATCTTGCTTGTTGGCCTTCATAACATTCCCTGTGCTTACTCTCAAGAAATATAAAAAAATCATCCAACGTATCCTCCACAACCACTAGCTTTAGATGGATGAAGCTATCAGGTCCATGGTTGCCAATACCAACCCAATAGAATTGCTTCTTGTTGTCATTTAAAAAGGCTTGAAATGCCTCTGCTTCATGAATCTGATGAGGCTGACGTTTCGGAGGTCCAAACCTTGCACCAGCTGGCAACCGGAACTTCAAAGCTTGCATACGTGCAGGAACGCGGAAATTTGAGGGGAGAATGTCTTTGAGTGTGAACTCGAACACCGTGTCCTTCTCGCGATCATGAAAAAGCTTACCCATGTATATCATGAAGACAATGCACATGAGGTCTGATACCTCCTTAACCTTGGGATTAGAATCCAGTATAGGAGGCCATAAATGTCGCAGCTCCGCCACATGTAGGTTCTCGACAAGATGGTATATAAGGAGTGGAGAGAACATGATGGAAAAAGCGCGCATTCCATTCTTTGTGTCTTCCTGTTTCGATAATTTTACCTGCTTATGGGGAGGCGGCTCCTCCTGTAAATTAACCCCACATAAGCACTCACATAAACTTCTGAAATACCAGAAAAGTACCTCGTTGCGTAAGAGTCCAACTAAACCGCAAGACTCTAAAAATCCCCACTTATCACTGTAAATGCCTGGCCATACTAGGTCGTCCCGATTGATAAGGGTCCCCAGCAGCGCAACATAAAGGGCTCGTAGCACTAACAAATAGTTGCTGTCATGAAGGTAGTGAAGATAATAACTGCCCTTAATACGTTTCCACGCATTCGTTATTGTTTTGCACAGATCGGCTTGGGTGAGATCTTGATCCACCTGTAACAAACATAAAAAAACTTCTCATCACATCAAGAAAAAAGACAAAAAAGAGCCGAACAAACCTTCTCGTAGAACTTCAAAGCTTCGAGATGAGGGTGCTCGGGCATCAACCCTCTCAACAGGTGATCAAGCATCCTAGGATTACCTCCTGCTAACTTTATCAGCTTCCTTAGTCCGTCCTTCAACTCAAATGGTTTCTCCATGTCGAGAGTATCTCCTAGTCTTGAAAAGAAAATTTTCGTTATATGTTCCACTTCCTCCTCTTTCAAAGGCCTGATAGGGATAAAAATACTCGTAGCATTCTCCGTAGACGTGTAACGCATTGTGGCCCCAGAAAATCGGGTCGTTGCTGCTGTAAGTACAGGAAACGTCAAGCCACCTCGGTTACCTTTGATATGTTGAACGTAGGCCGAGAAAGCTTCATGAATCCAGGACGATGCAGCTGGGCGACCTCGCTGAGGTCGAGCCTTATTGACTTCATCAAAAAACCAAGATAGGAAAATTCGCTTGTCGGCAGGAACCTTAAGACCAGTTCGAATGAAGTCGACCACATCTCCGAAAGCCAGCACATTCCTCAGGCCCGGAAATATGCCATCCAACTCCTTGAGAAAATCACCATATGCAGTCGTATTCATTGGACAAAGTGCTGCATGCAAGGACCGAAGGGCCAAAACCTGTGCGCCTTCCAGGCCGTTCTCAAGCAGAAGTGCACCCCCAGTCCTTGTCGTCTCAAGGGAATGATACATTCGAAGGTGTTTCCCGGTCTCCAACACATTATTCACCATTTCCTTGAACTGAGTGACAAGCCTACCAGAACCAAGCTGGTCCTCGAGAATGGCATCTATAGCCCCTGTTTCTGTGCCCCTCAACCACGCTTCTCTGAGGAGAGCTGAAAGGCATGACCCGACAGTTGTTTTACCTGCGCCAGGAAATCCGATGACCATCAACATGAACTCTTTTCGTTCAATATCCGAGGCACTGGCCGTCGTGTTCATAAAAGTTGCAAAGACCCGTGCAGCGGCTGCCATAAGATGCTGAATCGTCTCGTCCCTTCCGACCAAAGTAAAATAATCTCCCAAGTCCGCATGTAAATACGGCTGCGCACCGTTGTCCACAAGAGGCAATTTGCAGCCTGGCACCCTCCTCGCCGGCATCCCGCGAAGAAACCTTGCATCCTCCAGTTGTTTTGTGTATACATCCAGCAACCTCGACACTACAACAACACAAATGTGTCAGTAGTAGAAATAGCCACAGTACACCAACACATTAAACACCAAAGCATAACCCCGTACGTACGAAGAGCCGCAGATGCAGAAAAATCCAGGCAACACGTTCTACAAGCTGCACAGCAAAAAAAACACACCGCACCAACAAAGGCAACAGCCGAAGGGCTTCACAAACACACAGAGACCAGGCACTAGCACCACGACAAGTAAACGCCAAGTTCCAGCCAAGAAGTGGTTTTGCTCAGCAATTGCTTACCTGGCGCAGCTTGAAGGGTTATCGGCAGGGTCGCTGAAACAGAAATATAAACTTGTCAGTACTCGGCATAGCCAGGGGGCAAGAGGCGCGACGAGGCAAAAAAAGGGCGAAACGAGAAGCACTCCTAAATAACGCACAGCCCAGAAAGAACACAGATCCAAAGACCACAAAGTTGCGAAAACCACACCAGGCCGGCAGATCCAGGCAACGCTACTTACGTGTAGGAGCCTTCGTTGCCCGAATAGTATGAGAAGATCCAGGCACATATGTAGACCTGCTCAGGCCGTCTTCCCCTGCCTGTAGACGTCTCCACCTGACCCTGCCTTGCTCATAGCGCTTCACACTGATAAAGACAGCCGAGAACTCCTGGAGAACATCATGTACCGCCACTCTACCATCATCAAGGTAAAATTCGCAGCCCTCTGCCCCATCTATGTCTTCGATGAACTCTACAAACTCCTCCACAGTGCTCGCATCCACCTCCATGGGCTTAAGCCCTAGCCGCCGCTGTCTGAGTATATTCTTTAAGGGCAGTAGTTCTTATAAATCAAAGTGTTAAAATGTGTTGATTTTGCTATTCTTGCCAAGTGAGTTGATAATCAGCAACCTCAGTTGGAGATGATAGTGATAAAAACATTAGCATGTCTAAGCTTTAGACATAACTTCCTCGATTTCATTTTAGTCCTTGAATCCTCCACAATACTGGATGGGATCACCATAATAGCATTCTAAAAGTTGATGATAAACACAAAATTAAACCCAAAACAAGAGCTGACCATTTATTAGACTTTGTAAATATTCCAAAAGTGTACTCAAAATAGCTTTGCACCATTTGCACCTTAAACTTATCTATATCATAAAACACACTAAGTTCCAACCATGTTTATATCCATGTTATAGATTTTATAGAGTGTGGACTATATTTGAACTCACAAGTTGAAGAGTTGAGCTCATAAGTTGAGCTCAAATTTCAATTGTAGTTTAATACAAACATTAAAAACTTTAAATAAGGTTATGAATTTAATAATTTCATACCTCCATACATATTATATAGATAAAAATGTTCTAAAGAGCACTTCTTGTTCTAACAATTTAAATATTTATTACATGCCATAATAGGGATATTTGTTAAAACAAAAAATAAGATGTTTGCAGAAAAAGTATTCTTATTACCAACATCTTCACCAGCAAAAGGAAAACAACACTTTAAGCGAATAATCTTCATATCACCAATAGAAGCTCAGAGAGTGTACTCCACTAATGGAAAAGGCAATATTAAAAGGCAATAAAATGAGAAGAAAAAATAGAAACCAACTTAAAAAGAGTGATGTCCTTACTGGAACATCTTAACTTCCCACCACCCTAACCATGACTCAAGTTGTAATAAACAACTTATATCCGTATGGCCATTTTTACGCCATCACATTCAAATCTTATTTGCTTTTACCTTATGCTCTTCTTTAGAAAGTGCAACCTATCACTGTTTACACAACTCCTTAAACATTAATTGAAACTTTGGCTAGATAAAGTGGCAGTGTTAGTTTAGGATTTGAGCCCAATGGAACTCTCATAATCTTCCAATAATTGACCATTCCCAAAAATTGCTCGAACACCATTCCAATTTACATTAGCCCCATCTATCATGAAACTGCGAAAGTTTGTAAGCTTATCGGTTTGCTTTAGGACAATATCCGAAAGGGACTTCCAAAATATTTCTTGGGTTGTTTGGTCTTGTACTTTAAACTCTACTGTCACAATTGTCAAGTTACAATATAGCATATGAAAACACAAATATTACAACAATTTCAATATAATGAGAATAAAAATTACTTTAGATCATACACATGAGCTCCCATAGTTGTCCAACCTAATACGTACTCCATATGGTCAAAATGTACCCATGCATTTGCAAGGTCACTGGACCCAAACATGTCCATTCGGGAGACAAGATTTATACTAAAGGCAAGGCCCATGGTAGATATTTTCAAGATAAAGGGGCACTCTTGTTCATTCACAACTTAGTTTAAAAACAAACTTCCGTGGATAAACTTGTATGGACAAGTTTATTTCAATTGAAGGATGGAGTCAATTTTTTATTGCAACTTCCCCTCTCGATATTCACATATCCAAAATTTTATTTTAAACAATATAATATAAGAAAAAGATATTATAGAAAAGAGCTCCCTACTCAAGTTTTCTTTATCCTAGCTTTTGCATTTGCTTCTTCAGAAAATCAACGTTTTGTTTCGCTTGGTTGCTTGTAACCAAGGAAAGCTCTTTCATCATTGGCAGCTGTAGAAGTTTCACATTGATTGATATGGCCTTTTCCGGTAGTTGTCATCTGCTGCCGATACTGAGATTTCATGTTTAGCATCATCATTTTCATTTCAACTATCTGCAATCAGCAAGCATAGAAGAATTTAGAAGACCAAATAGAAGAAATGCTGGCTTACAAACAGAACTTGCCTTGACTTCGTACTCCATAGAGCACTCCAGTCAATTTTAACCTTGTTTATAGTCGTCTAAAAGTTCCTCCGGTAATGCGAGTGAGAAAGAAAGCAAGCATGTTAAAGCGGCAAACCTTCGTGACTTCTTTCTTCTTTAGGAAACAGGCTCCCGAATGTTCTGGTCACCTGGATTAAATGTTTCAAGAGTTAACTTCCTTCTCACCGACGATTGTAGTTGTTTTGGTCCAATCGTCCACTTGACTATTCAGCACTTGAGGAGTACTCCTGTCATCGCCACTGTACTATTCCTTACAAGCAGACTTGGTTCTAACTTCTACAGCATCTTTTCCAACGTCATTTTCCAGCTCGTAGTGCAGCATCTGGTCAGCGTATTGTTGAGCTGGTTCTTTTGAAGCCCCTGTCATCACTGTCTCCTCAATTGAAACCAAAGTAGCCTTTTTCTTCGGAAGTTCTTGAGAATATGAAGTACAAGGCCCTTGGATGTATGGCCCTCTTTTCATGATCCCGGTGCTCAAACGCATCGAGATCACATCCAGTGAGGCCGATCGCAAGCTCGCAGCATCGCTCCCCAAGAAATTCGCGGCTGCTAGATTGCTCAAGGATGGAAGAGAGCTCCATGGCTGGATTGCCAGGGCGGGGCGCGATGGAGAGCTGAAAAGAAGAAACGAGTAAACAAACAAACTTCAAAGGAAAAGAGAGAACAAAAGCTTACCCGGAACATCCTCGGCGCGCCCTTGGCCTTGGCACCAGGAGGACGAGGCTGTCTCTCAAGTTTTGGAAGATACCAGCACTGGAGATCTCAATCTCTCAATCTCTCACACTCTAGCATGCTCAATCTTTTGCACTCTTAAGTGCCCGATCTCTCGCAATCTCACATGCTCCATCTCTCACACTCTCTCGCTATCTCTGGATCTCTCTCACGCTCTGGGAGGGAGCCTTAAAAAAACCTGGGCCTCAAGGCTGATGGCTGCCCTAACCCTAACCAATTTCTCATCCTGGCTGTTCATTCCAAATAACCTAAATCTCAGCTATCATAATATCTTTGATCTTATTTTATCTTATAATTATTATTATATGTGAATTATGGTTCTTTATTTTGTATATTTTAATGATGATATAACTAGCACCTATCAACATTTCTGTTATTAGAGATATGATATTATTTTTTCCAAATTATCTAGAAAGGACGCATTTTCATCAATATTTTGTACATATTTTGAAATCATTACAAGAACTTTAAAGATTATAAATAAGGCATATTGAAATATATTGTACTATATTAATACATGAATGAATGAATTTTCATCCAGAAATTTATTTTTTTTTGTATTAGATCCTAAATGCATTAAATATCATTGAGTAGTATTCACAATTATGGATAAAACTCAAGTCATAGTAAGAATTGAATCTATCATTGAAGAATTATCATTACTTAGCACTTAAGATTTGATAAAATTTATCATCACCTAGCACTTAAGATTTAACAAACTTGACACATCACATGTGCTATTAGTTAGTTCAGACCTCTTGGATTGCCACATTATACTCAAATGTCATTACTGATATCATTATTAATTATCAAACTTCACGTGTTGAAAATCCTTCTTTGGATCTATGTGCAAACATGCATCAGACATTATAATAGATTATAGTAACATTAAAACTATCACACTTGCATATATTAAATTTGTTATAGAATTTAAATTCATTTTGTATGCTATTAACATTCTTCATATTGCTCTCCTTGAATTTCAATTTATATTTCACTATAGATTTTTACAAATAGTATAAAGAGAGAGAGAACTCCAAAAACTATTATGAAGGATGGAGAGGTTTTTTTTACATTTTCGAGATCACCCACCTCTTTTATTTTCTCAAAGTATTGTTTTCAAAAGTTTTTTATGTTGGCGTTTTGATTTTCGTCTTGGCTCTATTTTGTTAGAGGTTGTGATTCACAATGACACCGGTATAGTTGCATGCTCAAGGTTTCTTCTTTCCGGTGTGGGTGAGGGTAAACAGTAATAAAATTTGTAAAATTCTAAATCGAAAGAGATTCGAGTTTTTGGATCTCAAATCAAAGTGCCAAGATGCACTCTAGCAAAAGTGAATGTAAAGCAAGAGTCAGTCGTCATCCTCTCCTCTTCTTTTAGTTTAAGTGGAGAAGCCATGCTAGTATCAATGTCAAATTCACTAGCTCCATCTTCAACAATATTCAAAGCCATTAACAATGCTTTCCAGTTTTCGCATGTCTCAGTTGACAAGTGCTTGTTTTTGTATAGATTCATGAGCAAACTTCCATCCTCTTACAACGGCAATATTTTTTTTGAGCTACCACTTCTTGTTAACAACATAAGTTTTAAACAGAAGGGAATGGAAACCAAGCAAAATGTCCATAATTGATGCAAGATTAATACCACACACTTCCAACATTTTGAAGGTATGGTGTCTGTAGTTTATTGTGGTGAGCATTTAGATTGCATGGATGAAGTATGCAATCAAGATCGCGGAAAAAGTTCTATATTTTTCAAGGGTTTACAATCAATCATCCTACCTGTGATACCATTACTGTTAGATTCAAATGTCAATTTTGCAAATATGCTCCTCTATGTTGTGCTATCAGCAAGGCTAGGATGTACTTTTTTTGTTAGGTACAAGGTAAAGAGAATAAGATAAAGAAAGGGCCCTGCAATCAAGTGATCCCCCCTTTAGCAAATTGGCTTAGGATGTAAGGGATAGGATCCTAACATTGGTATGGGAGCCCAGTTCTATTCTTGTGGCTGATGAGTAGGGCAAGAATATTCAAAAGGAATATTTAACATAGTGGATCTAGAGGGAGAACCAAGGTTTGGTAAACCCTAAAAGAAGGACCATGGTGACTAGAGGATGGCCTAAATATGATTGTAGATGATCATTCTTTGACAAGGGGAGGATAGATCAGAATAATAGGATAAAGAAAGGGCCCTACAATCAAGTGATCACCCTTTTAGCTAGTTGGCTTAAGATGTAAGGGATAGGGTCCTAACATTCTTCCATGGGATGGAATGGCTAGAAGAGTTGTAGTAT